GTCCTGCAGCAGCGCAGCGCGCGAGGAGGAGCCGGCCTTGAGCTCTCTCTCCTCGAGGGCTCCTCGGCCGCGGCCGGCTCCCAGGCCCACGTGGCCTGCTTGCCCCCCAAGCAGAGACTCGGCCTTTCCCGCCGTTTTCCGCCTGGATTGTCCCACGGCTGCTGGAACCTGAGGGGCCGACTGGGCGGGACCTTCAGTACAGTAGCCAATGAGGTGCGGAGAGGGGACGGGCCGGCCAATGGGAGTTGCTTCCCCTAGGGACTCCGGGGGTCTTCTGCAGGTGGGTGGGACTTGCGGAGCCAGAGCAGATAAAAGGTGATGCTGCGATGGGGGCAGCCCGCACTGGCTGGGTGGGTACCAAAGGTGTGATGGGAGGAAAATGCCAATGACAGCGGAGTAATGGAAGAGGTGCTGGAGAAGGAGTCTGACTGTGACAGCAACCAGAGGGTTATTCATGTTGGGCATCACATCTTTCTACTGTAAAATAATCGCTAAGGATTCTTCCTGTTGAGCCTCATGTTGTTCGTGTGTGTTCAAACTGCTGACTACATTCCTCTGACAAGGCGCTTGGGTGGCAGGGGAGACAGATAACTTCTTTCATCTTTCACTTGGTGAAAGAGAAAATCTAGGAACACTAATCCCGTTGGGACAAAGAGGAGAGAGGAGGAAGCAGGGGACAAAGTTAATGGACCCAGTGGAGTTAGGATGAACGGAACTTTGCAAATAATTAGAAAGTGATAGATCTAAGAAGAATCGCAGATAATTTCAAGGTTAGAAATGTAGAGGATCAGGATATCAATGGTGTGGATGATGGAGAAATTGGGAAGATAGTACCAAGATAAACTCTACAGGAAAAACTAAATGCTAGACCTAGAAAGAATAAATTCTGGCAAAGTACCCTTGGGGGAAGTCAGTTGACATCCACATAGAAGTGGAGATAGAGTGATGACAGAAACTCCAAAAGAGGAAACTATTAAGAGAAGGCAGAGTTCTAAGGACTAAGTCTTTTTCCCCTCCAAATTCTACAAACACATTTACAATGTGCAAGGAATGGAGGTCATCAAAGTTAGTAGCCCAAGAGAAGGAAAGGGAAAGGAGTACCCAGCTGGAAAGAAAGGAAAGCATGATGTCCCTGAAGTTGTTAAAAACTTTAGCTGGTAGGTGGGCCAGGGGCTGCTGGGAAGTTTTAGATGGAAAGTTGAGAGTTTGGGGATGGTTGCAATAGTCTTGAGATTTAAGAAGGAGCAGGATTTAAGTTGTATGAGGACAAAAGGGAAGATTTTGTCTGATTCCTTTGGCATCCCAATTCTTTCCTGGAGGTAGGAGCAGTATAATAGAGGCAAGTGAGCTTTAGGCAGGGTGAGGCCAACTGTAGTCAAACTAATCATGTTCTGTATTAGTGACAGCTAGGTCAGCCATAGCACAAAGTCTTGACCAGAAGTGGGAGCCTGGCAAAGGGATATTGCTTGAGGAGTTGGCCCTGAGTCTTTGATACTGTGTCATCTTTAACTCTTTGTTTTCATAAATGTTATTATGGATTTTTAGAGAGAGAGGGAGGGAGAGGGATAGATAGAAACATCAATGACAGAGGAACATCATGGATCAACTGCCTCTTGAATAGTCCCTACTGGAGGAGGATCAAGCCTACAACCTGGGCATGTACCCTGACTGGGAATTGAACCAACAACCTCTTGGTTCCTGGGTTGATGCTCAAATGCTTAGCCACACTAGCCGGGATACCTCATGTTGTATATGCTGCTGCAGAACCAACCTCAAATTTGGCACTATAGAAAAAGAAATTTTGTAGCTCAAAAGGGAATAGGTTTAGCTTAAGTTGAGGATATGGGGGCATGTCAGTCCCTCTCCAATAAATAGAAGGCTAAGGAAAGGGTCCTACCCTATGTAGATTGTGGCTTACCCGATTCCTTTTATTCCACACCCAATACTTCTTTGATTTGAGAGAGAGAGAGAGAGAGAGAGACAGAGAGAGAGAGAGAGAGAGAGAAAGAAAGAGAGAGAGATTGGTTGATTTGTTGTTCCACTTATTTGTGTGTGCATTGTTGATTCTTATATGTGCTCTGACCGGGGATCAAACCCACAACCTTGGCATATTGGGACGAAGCTCTAATCACTTGAGCTACGTGGCCAGGGCCCCACCTTCCAATCCTTGAGACTCAGATTCCAAGATTTATATTTGATCTTAAACTTTTGGCTTTTTAAAAAATATATGTTTTAATTGATTTCAGAGAGGAAGGGAGAGGGAGAGATAGAAACATCAATGATGAGAGAGAAACATGGACCGGCTGCCTCCTGCACGCCCCCCACTGGGGACCAAGCCTACAACCCAGGCATATGCCCTTGATGGGAATCAAACCTAGGACTTTTCAGTCTGCAGGCCGACACTTTATCCACTGAGCCAAACCAACCAGGCTCGGCTTTTTTTTTGTTTAAGATTTTATTTTTTAAATTAATTTTTTATTGATTTCAGAGAGGAAGGGAGAGGGAGAGATAGAAACGGCAATGATGAGAGAGAATCATTGATTAGCTCCCTCCTGCCTGCCCCCTACTGGGGACAAAGTTTGCAACCTGGGCACATACCCTGACTGGAAATTGAACTTAGACCTCCTTGTTCATAGGTCTACGCTCAACCTCTAAGCCACACCCGCGGGGCAACTTTCGGGTTTTTAAATCTGGCTGGTTGCCTTGGTGCCAGAGTAAGGAAGTATTGAATACAATGAGATGAGATCCGCTCCATTCCTTAGGCAGGTCACTGCAGGACACAGGCATCTCTAAATTCTTGGGTGGAGGAGGATTCACTCTCTGTTGAACAATCTGTCATTTCTTCCCTCAGCTGGTTCAGGAAGTCTCTGCTTTCACTGGGAGGCAGGTTACTCAGGAAGTATGGAGGGGCCAACTCCACCAGCCTGACACAGAGAGTCAGAATTAGATGATTTCTATATACGCTCTCATAAAGCATATTTTTAAACTTCTTACTATCCCTTCCACAAACCTTGTCTTCTCAAATCATGTTACTACAGACCACTATGATTCCCTCTTCTTCTTAAGGCTCTCTAACTAACTCCCCAGCCATATTTTTGGCCCCAGGAAGAGGAATGGGCAGTGTAAGGAGGGGTGCCATGGAACTCACATCTGTGGTTGAATCTCAGAAACAATGGAAAGGCAGTTGTCTTTGGAAATGGAGAAACTGTGGTAAAGCACCCATGGCGGGGGCCTGGCTGGAGCCCGGCGGCTTCGGTAGCAGCAGGATGGGGAGAGCTGGGCCACATGCTTATGCGTTAGGAGCAGGTAATTTCCAGTCCCATCCGTGTCTTGGGCCACCTCATTGAAAGGCAAAGATATTGAAGGAATAAGTTATAGAGAAGAGGCAGACAGTAGAAAAAAAGTAAGGGGAGATAAGAAGGAATTAGTGAGGGTGATGAGAGTATTAAAGTAAAGCATTTCCTCTAGATGTTATAGTTCCTCCACACCAAAAGCTCCTTGTACCCCAAAGGAAGTTTCTGCTGGTTCTATAGAATCCTCTGAATGGCCATCTGGACCCCAGTTTTCAGAGATGGCATACCAATCTTTGGTCTCTCTGACTTCCAATCCTTTTATGACCCCAACTCTTTCCCCTAACCTTAAGGAAGTATCCAGACACCAGTGCTTTCTGAAGGTCTCTGCGATTCTTCTCAGAGCCAAAGGCTGGTTGGGACAAGGGAAGTTCAATTCGTTGCATAAGTTCTAGGAGTTCTCCTCGAAGTTTCTGGGCTTGGCACAGTGCTGCCCAGCTTAGACCCCGAGCCTGGCACCAAGCCTTGTCTGCTCCACCTAGGAGAGGAAAGGGACCAGCTACAACTAAAGCCCTTAAGACCCCTGAAAGAACCAAACCCTTGGCCAAAGGGCCTCCTCTTCCTGGGCATAGAGATCTGTCAGCTGGTTGCACACCACTTGTGGAATATCTGGGATTCTATAAGACAATGCTGAGTGGGCCACTCACTCTGTAGAAAGGCTTCATACACCTGGATCAGAGAACTGTGGTCACCGTCCGCATGCTCCAGGGCCCGGCGTAAAGCAGCTTCTTCTGCACAGAGTGGAGGACGGGTAAACCCGGGGGCAGCTGCAGGTAGGAGAGAGGAAGGATGTTTGGGGGAATTCGAAAGGATAGCAGAACAGGTGGAAAGATACAAAGGTAGAAATGTCATTTTGGGGACTTAATTCAAAAGATATTGATAACTTCTAAGTGCTATGCACTTTATTAGACATTGAAGGTAAATGAAAGACAGTCTCTGTCCTCAAGGAGTCTGGTGGGAGACAAACCAGTGAACAAACTTGATGAGCAAGATAGGTGTGTGGGCCAATATTTGAAGTTTGAGTAGGAATTAGCTCAGTGGCAAAGGGCTGGAGAGAGGATTCTGGACTGTGGGCACAGCAAGTTAGTAGCATGGCATGTTTGGAGAACTGCGAGCGCCTAGTATGGGTGGTTGGAATGGCGTGCATGGCAGGGTTACAGGGGATAAAGCTGGGGAGGTAGGTAAATGAGTTTACAGTTTGTCTAGAAGGTAAAAAATAGCTGTTGAAGAGTTTTTAAGTAAGAGAGTCCCTGTGTTTGAAGAAGTTCAAAATTCACATGACTAATTAGGAGGCTACTGAAGGAGTCCAGCTGAGCACTGACAGAACCTGACAGTGAGTATGGAGAACAGCAGATTAATTAAAATAATTAAAATGGAGAAACTGTGGTAAAGCACCCACGGTGGGGGCCTAAAAATGAAAGAAACCAGAGATAGATTAGTCTAAAATGAGGGTAATGGAGCTGCGGAGATGATGGTATTATTTTTGTGGTGGTGATGAGAAGGTCGTTTAAGAAAGTGTTCAAGTTTAGTTCTGGCTTGAAGTACTGTGGACTGTTCTGGTAGACATGTCTATCAGGAGTTAAACATATAAATCTAAGATTCAGAAGAATGGCATTGACAGGGAGATACAAGGTTTGTATATTTTAAGTGTGAGGGTATCCCTTCAGAGCATGGGTGTGGATGAACTTGCTTAGAGAGTTCAGGGAATGAGAAGACACAAAGGGCAAGAATACAAAACCCTGAAGTCCAACTTACAGTGGATGAGCAGAAGATGAAGCGCCCAAGTAAGACATTAAGGGAATGGTAGGGAGGAAGGATGAGAACCAGGAGGAGTGGTCACAGAAGTTTAGTGGGGCAGTTCCAAGGTGGGAGTGGCCAACATTCTGAAGTGTCAAAAGATCATGAATGAGCCCTAGCCGGTTTGGCTCAGTGGACAGAGCGTCGGCCTAGGGACTGAAGGGTCCCAGGTTTGATTCCGGTCAAGGGCACATGCCTGGGTTGTGGGTTCAATCCCCAGTAGGGGGCATGCAGGAGGCAGC